GTGTGTGTGTGTGTGTGTGTGTGTGTGTGTGTGTGTGTGTGTGTAGTATTTCTCCAAGTAGATATTGAATTATATAGTTATATTCTCTAAATTATCTCTGTATGTATATATATCATTGTATAAGATCCTATATCCTTGCAATAGAGATCTTTTATCTGTGAAAATGTGTTTGTTATTTGCAAGGTGGTCCACGTGCTTATTAAGAGCTCTGCGATTATTTAAAGAAATCTCCGTCTCGCAGGGTTTTAGGTCTTACTTTGAATTGATAATGGTTTCTTAACCCTCCACAAACTTTATTAATACAAAATAAAATTAAGATAAGGAAAGATGCTCATTTTTTAAGTACCGAACAATGTGCCTGGAAGATCAATTGACGTCACATTTTACAAGTTCTTTTTTTTATCACAAAAATGAAATTTTATATATAACTTTCTATGCGCACGCAATTTGAGATAAAATCTGTCTTTTCTGAATTGTTTTTTCTGTTGTTAGGAAACACACGCAAACACGATTAAATATATTTTAAATAGCTAGTTCGCATCAATCAGGTATTGGTAGAGTGGAGAAGTACTCTTGCGCTTTTCTTGCAGCGTGATATTCCACGTTATAGATAGGATGAATCACTTCCACCCTATTCGTATGCCTCATTCCGATGATCGACTTTACTGGCGAGTTCTGCGCAATCGACAATCCACTGAGCGCATAACACGTATGGTATATATCACGATTTCTGAAAAAAAAAAGAAAGAGACGATAATATTTGTGCGTCATCGTGCAATCAAATTGAACTTTTAATTATAGTGTAATTGCAAATATGTAAATACGCGATTACGTACTTTCCTGGTTTATCCAGCATACCACCGTGTGGGTTCTGACAGCAGATTAATATATATTCTTGTAAGGCCTCTTGATTGAACAACCAGTGGTTAGAAGTATTAAAACTTCCCGCGGGTTTCCCCTGCTTCAAGATAGCTGCAATCAGCGGGAACGCACCGCCTTGCCAGAAGGAATAGCAACCATCCACTAATTTGTTCGTGCGTCCTTCGAAGCCGCCTTCCAGACGCATTTGTTTATTCACTATCCATCTCTGTGGAATACGAAACGTGAAGCCAAAGGGCAAAGATCTTGTCGCGATAGAATCGCGAAGAGAATCTTACCAACAATTCTGGTAAATGGCAGAGCTCTGTTTTTCCGAGCATCACGAGTGTCGCCAAAGCGCAGTACGCGTATCCACCGTGTGCTTCCATTCCCGGGCAACCGCCGAAGCCGCCTTCCCACGTCTGACACTTTGCTATCCACTCGGCGGTGGTCTTGAACATATCCGGTGTGTACACGTTCGCCAATTTAGCGGCGGCGAGAGCGCAATACGCTCCCCGTATGTCGACTTCTCCGTTTTCGTGCATGGAGAAAGAACCATCCTCTCCTCGTAAAGACGACAGAAACCGCTTTAGGTTCTTCCTGAAATTATCCGAGTGTCAATCTTAAAGATTAGGCATATGATTTTTAAAAACAATAATATAACAGAAATTATAATACATTAACATGCATACTTTACCTATCTATCACATCATATGCCTCCTGCGTACCAATAGTGCATAACGCGTTCACCGCAGCGTACGTAGAGGCTAAATGCGGATACTGTCCAGGACCTCCTCCAAAACCACCTGTCGGCGATTGACATTTTGCTAGAAAGCCCACTATTTTGGAATACTCCTCATTTTCCAAGCGTTCTTCTAATATCGCAAGTGAATGCAGTATCCAGAAACACATCCACGGTCTGCTGCAGTCCAAACACTACCATCATTATAAATACTCCATAAATCTTTCATTATTATTAAGAGAGAACATCTTGCAAATTCAGCGAAGCAAAGTCATGTATTTGTTTGATATTAGATAAGAAATGGATACCTCATAAGCTTCACTTAAATACGTAATCGATTTCTTTAAAAACTGAATATGCTTTGGCCTGAGCAAAGTAGGATCCGCTTCTTTGTCGCACAATCGGTAAAACTTGAGCACTGCTTCCTCAACGCGAGCCTGAAAAGATGCATAGAGACAAAACAATGAAATGTATGTAGTAGTACTATTACAATAATTATAGACAAATATAAATTGTTCATATGTTCAATTTATATATTTAAATGTATAGTTTTACCTGTTCAATAGTAGTTGCAGTTTTATGTTCCTCTTCATCTTGTTGCTGTTTCAACACTTCCTCGTAATTCCTTCGTCCTGTATGCAATTCTAACTCTGAATCTGCCATAATCTATCAACAATAACAACTTGTTATAACTCTGTTAATAAAAATAATTTATTGATCAAAATAGTGTTTTGATAAGCAAAGCAATTAGAAATTATTTTAAAATTTTAATTTTCTCTCCAATAAAAAAGAAAAGGAAAAGGATCCTTCAGAAGTTAGAATTTTTCGAAGAAAAGTTTAAGATCGAATTTTTCGAATCTAAAAAAAATAAGCATCGAATTCGAACAGTTGGAACTGTCTGAATATATCAAGTGTGGACAACGCAATATTGATTTTATTGATTTGTATAAACTTTAAACTTACGTATTAACTGTTATTTTATGTACAATGTTAACCGATATTTCGGTCACATTCATAACCTACTTATTTTGCTAAATAATGACACTTCAAAGATTAAAAGCAGTGCATATGCTTCCTGTCACAGTACCAATATAAAACTTTATCACAAGATTTACTATCATCGAATTTGCGGATTGGCTAAAATTCCAAGAATTCCCTAGAATTGTAATCTTTAATGCAATTAAAATAATATATAAAAAAATATTAAAATATCCGTTTCTATTATTTATTTTATTATTACAAATATAATATAAAAAATATATTGCAAAATATATCGACGAGTCTTCTTCTTTAAATAATTTTATTGCAAGTTTTTTTCGTGTGATTCGAGCTTTAGATTGCACTCTAGTGCACTTCTAGGGACTCCACACTCTCGTAGCGAAGCGCGTTGGCGGCGGGCGATGACGGAAGTGGTGGCGAATCGCGGACCTTCTCGTCGGGGCGCGCGGACGGCGAAAAATCGGGTTGATAAAGTGCGGATCGCGAGGGTGTCCCGTCGTCGGCATCGTCGAAACGATCGCATCGCCACGAGAGTGACGATCGCGCCGACGACGACGAGGCTGCGGCGACGTTGATTAATCTTGCGCGTCCGTGCGCTTCCGTTTATGCATGTGCGACATTAATCACGGATGTAGAGCGAGAAGCAGGACAGCCGAGACTTGTAATCCCCGAGCTAATTGGCGAAGAACCCCCGGAGAGATAATTATCAAAAGGATGAGAGGGAGCAAGGAAGAAAACGGGAGAAAGTGAGAGTGATGCGAAGAAGTTGGAATTAAGAAAGAAATCCCAGGCGTGTGCGAGTGAAACGGCATTTTCGGAACCGAATTACGCATATACAAGATAAACAAGGTGCAGCTCAGAGCTCTCACGTCACGTCAGGCCATTTAAATGTAATACAAAATGCTTTTCTAACATTTGGTATTATTCCGCAGAGAAGGAACGAGACTTCATATAATCAATCAGGGCCGTGACAGATCTAAATCCACCACTGGACGCCATATATGCTCCACTCTCGGTTCCCTATCGTCGTATGCACCGTCGTTGTACTTTTTCGTCTGTGAGTGTGGGAGTGAGTGCGCGTGCGACAAGGAACGCAATAAAAGTCGGAGTCGCCGCCGCCGTCGCGACGTTTGTGGGAGCATAGAAAAGAAAGAGGAAGGGAAAGGAAAGGGAGAAAGAGAGAGAAAGGGCGCACGCGCGAGAGCGAACGGGCGAATGAGGGAGAAAGGCAGGTAGGGTAGAGAGAAGCAAAGAGAGAGAGTGAGACAGAGCGAGGCGTAAGATCCGAGGATGCGGCGGGGTGTCTGCACCCGTGCGTGAATCACGCTTCAGAAACGCTTTCTCTCTCTCTCCGTCTCGCCGTCGTCGTCCTCGAATGCGCCCCGTGATCACCGCGACATTGACCCGTGTCGTGTGCCGCCACCGGACGCCACCGCTGACGACAGCAAGCAGCAGCAGCCACCCCGATCGAGGTAACAGCCGTCGGTCAACCAAACGGCGTCTGTTCGGTACCGATCGCATTGAGGGAAGCGAAGATCAAAGGGAGCGACATCCACGAGGAGCCCTCCGAGCCGCTCCGATACCGGTTGCCATGACCCGTTCCGTTCGAGTTCCACAGCCGGTTCCGGGAGTTCTGTGATGCGGGGTGACCTTGCGACGCGGTGAAAGGACCAGCACCCGTGAGTTTATCTATTTCTATCCGGGTGTGCCTCTCTCCAGGATTCCATAGAATATTGCTAGGACTGAGAACTCGCCGAGAACAACGCTTCGTCGTCATCGACATTGGTGCCGGAGTGTTTCTCTCTTCTAGGTTCTTTTTCGCGCAGTTGAAAGTGAAAGTCGGTGAGAACGACGAGGCGCGATATATACGAGCACATAGACGAGCGTGTTAACGAGACGCGGGTTCAATTAAAGGCGTAGAGACGCAGCAACGGAGGATAGACTGGCAACAAAGGAACAGAAGCGGATACAACATGTCAGATGAGGAAGACAAACCCCCTGCACCCCCTGTTCGATTGACATCAAACAGGTACACTCCATGTCAAAGTTTAATTGGTTTATGAAAGAAGTATTGGATAATTTCCAGTTTTATTTAATTGGTCTTGTGTTGAACTTTCCAGAAGTTACACGACATTTACAAATAGTGCGTTGTGTAAAATTCATTCAAGAACTTTAGCAGCCAAGAAAAGCTTGCTCGGACAGCAATCAGTACAATTTAAAAGTTATAAAATGATTGCAACTTGTGCTTTATAACAAATCTGAGAATTACATAGATAATTAAAACAGGAATAATTTATATTTTCAGATCTGATTTGTTTAATGCTGTCATAGCTTTCATGTGTGCTTTTGTTTCCTATGTGTTATGCATAAAAGTCAGCATTCTCCAAAAATAGACAGACATTTAGTTAGTGGTCGCTAAAAATAATATCTCTTGGTGAGTTTCTGTTGTGGGAGACCATCATTAAAGATGTCTAGACGTAATCCCAGTATGCCTGACAGATTTGAGAGACTGCACACTGTCAGTATGTTACACATATATATCTACATACAGTCAAATTTATATACTCATTCCGTAATACTTGTGACAGCAAAAATCTTGTGATTCTTAACTTCTTATATCTCTGTAATCAAATTTAACCCATTTATCTTAATGATATTCAACGTAAAAAAAATTGTACATATACTATATATATATATTTAACGATTTACTAAGCCAATAACGTAATTTGTGTGATTTTCTTTGATTTGTCAATAGTAACACTATTTATGTTTCGACAGGGGGGAATCAGCGCCTAATCTACCGGTGGACATGCGTCCGCTGCCTAAGGAGCCCGATTCCGATGAGCGCAAGAAGAAGACGCTGAAAAGCAAGATGAAGGTGAAGGAGAACAAGGACAAGCCCAACATTAGCTATCCCACGAACTTTGAGCACACCGTGCACGTCGGATTCGACGCCGTGACTGGCGAATTCACGGTAGGTTCTCCCAATACGCGCGTTTCGCACAGATTTCCGCCTCTCTACACCTATATTGTTCAAAATGCACTCGCTTACCGCTTCGCTGTTGTATCACGGTGCGGATTATCTGTGGGTGAGACGATAGGAAGGTTGACAAGTTTTAATATGTCACGTCGTAGATTATTATTGGCATTGTATCGTTCTCTGTATTACGTTGTGTCATTTGTATCCTTATGAAAAATCACACGGATCTTCCGTACCTGATCGAAATGAAAGATGAGACACTGGTTCACGTATATTTGAATGAACATTTCGAGGACGGTACTTTGGTAATTTGTCCGACGCTTCTTATACCTTATTATTTTCACATGACTAAACTAACAAGACACGTATTTCTTTCCAAGCTGCCACTAAAAGTAAGTAAATTAATACGAGTTAGTTTGCCTGTACTTAAACATTGTACATACATATACACCACGTGGTTCGACACTTTCTTTCCGTTGCGGTTTTTCTACAAAGTTACGTGTTTATTTTCCGTTTAGTATACACCGAGTTTCCGTCGGTATATAGTCGCTTCTGTAGATTGATATAAGCTTTAGTCAACGTTGCATACAACAATATTCATTTTCTTTTTTTACAGAATGATTTCCAACAGTGGATGGGATAAATTGTTAAAATTTTCTATAAATTCTGTTTGCAGATAACTTAAAATTGAGACGCTGCATGTATTCAAATAGTGATTTCATAGAAAATTCACTGATAATTTTGTTAAATTAAAAAAATTGGAAAAATTTACTTTGACGTAAAAGAAATTTAAATTATCAAAATTGAAGATATTTTTTGTTTCCTTTTTAACTTCTACAAAAAGTGATATCTCATAGAACTAATAGAAAAATTATGTCAAATATTCCTCAGAAAATTCTGAGAAATTTTCATGTGATTAAACAAATATAGACTTGATTAAATTATCATGCAAATTTCTCAATTTATTTATAAATACGTGACACAAAAATTTTTTCCGATTCTCGTTCTTCTACACGTCATTGCATGTTCAAATACGAAAGTTTAGTAGTAGGCTCTTTTTTTTTACACTAGCATTACTCGCCAGATTTGGTAAATTACTCATTATCTGTTTTATAACAAATACGATTCTTGTCTCACGGCGTGTGTTTCTTGCCTAGGGTATGCCAGAGGCATGGGCGAGACTGCTTATGTCCAGCAACATCAGCAAGCAGGAGCAGAAGAAGAACCCGCAGGCTGTACTGGACGTATTAAATTGGTACGATAGTAGTAGTAAGGAAGCAAAAGGCTCTAAGTACATGACCACGACTAAAATGGTCGGAGTTATTGGTGAGTAGCGATGTCAATTTGCCACATATGAAGAGAAATATTCATTATTATCATATTAACGATGCGATATATATTTTTTTCAGCTCCAATCGAAAGAGCAAGTAGTCCTCGTAGTATGGGAATAGGCATCGGCACGGGAGTGGGAAATATTCGCGGCCAGGCGATGTCTCAGGCGTCCGGCAGCTCTCACTCCCAGCACTCGTTGAGCAGGTGAGTCTTTTACACTTTTACGCGTCCCGTCTGTCCCGCGGCTGTCCAAATGTTTTCTGAGAAACGACAACGTTGCAGGGTGAGCAGCAGTAGCCCGAGCAGCACGCCGACGGACGCGTGTGCCACCAGCTCGGAGCAGGAGGACGAGCCGCCGCCTCCGCCGATCTCCGCCCGGCCGGAACGCACGAAATCGATCGTAAGTTTTTTTCTCCTCACGTCTGCTCGAATGCGATTAAGAAATCCGCGCTCGATGTCGCTGTGTCTAATCATATTTTGCTAACTATTTGGGACACACTTTACTTTCACTGCGCAGTACACGAAACCTATAGAAGAGGAACCGCCGCCTCCCCTGACGACCGCGCTCGGCTCGCCACAGCGAAACGGCATGCAGCAACAGCAACATCAGTCCCAGTTAGATAGAAATAAGAATCAAGCGACGCCAACGTCCACGACGACCGATCAGACGCGACCGACGCAAAGTGATAAAGCCAGAAAGAAGAAGATGTCGGACGACGAGATACTAGAGAAGCTTAGAACAATCGTGAGCGTGGGCGATCCTAATAGAAAATACACGAAAATGGAGAAGATAGGGCAAGGGTAAGATAGAAGGCGATTGATCGGCGAACAAGGTACGCCTTGGTAAATGGAACTTGGAGGAAATTGAAATTTGCATCTGTTATTTGTTTATTGATTTATCGACTGATTATTATTCATTGACTTGAGGGCTGGCTAAAAACAAGAAATATAAGTGTGGTTTCCACTTTCTCTTAAATTTTTTTATAGATTCCACTTACTCTGGCGTACCTATTATGTTAATTATGTGACTACTCATTATAATAATCGGCTTGCAGTGCTTCGGGGACGGTTTATACGGCAATCGAAACGTCCACCGGCATGGAAGTTGCAATAAAACAAATGAATCTGTCGCAACAACCAAAGAAAGAGCTTATAATAAACGAGATTCTGGTAATGCGGGAGAACAAGCATCCGAACGTTGTAAATTACTTGGATAGTTATTTAGTTGGGGAAGAACTCTGGGTAGTCATGGAATATTTGCCAGGTGGCAGTCTGACGGATGTTGTGACTGAGACTTGTATGGACGAAGGTCAAATCGCTGCGGTGTGCAGGGAAGTGCTGCAGGCGCTCGAGTTCCTTCATTGTAATCAGGTTATACACAGGGACATTAAGTCGGACAATATTCTGTTGGGTCTTGACGGTGGAGTGAAGCTGACGGATTTCGGATTCTGTGCACAAATTTCGCCGGAGCAGAGCAAGCGGACGACGATGGTCGGCACGCCGTATTGGATGGCACCGGAAGTGGTGACGCGAAAGCAGTACGGACCTAAGGTAAACACACGCGTCTTTTCTTCCTAATAGAAATCAAAGAAATTGATATTGCGTGATTAATTGTGTTGCGACGTGCACTATTTGTGTCAGGTTGATATATGGTCGTTGGGAATAATGGCGATCGAAATGATCGAAGGCGAGCCGCCGTATCTGAATGAGAATCCACTGCGGGCGTTGTATTTGATCGCGACGAACGGTAAGCCGGAAATCAAGGAGAAGGACAAGCTGTCAGGTATATTTCAAGACTTCTTAGACCAGTGTTTAGAGGTTGAAGTGGAGAAACGGTCCGCGGCTTCCGAGCTATTAAAGGTAAGAGAAATCATTACTATTATTACGAAGACGAACTTGCATGCATCTGTTTCGTACGAGTTGATTGAAAATGTGTTTTTAAAATGAATTACAGCATCCTTTTCTGAAATTAGCCAGGCCACTGGCTTCGTTAACACCTTTGATAATGGCGGCAAAGGAAGCTGCTAAAGGTCATTAAGAGGCGGTAGCGTGTTTAGATTGTAGGCGTAATAAGACATGACGGTAAGACGTAATGGTTATGCGAGCGATGCGAGAAAGAAAAGTAAGGAAAGAATAATGAATCACCCTCCCAAAACGGAAACGGCACAATAATTCAATAATATATAATAAATAATGAATATAAACGTATATATATATAAATGAATAAATACACATATTATATATATGGAAGCATATATGTGTGTATATCGTATATGAATATTATATTATATGCGGCGTCGTATACATATTCACATATATATGCATATATCCATCACATACGTATATAGGTCATATAAATAGATAGATAGAACTTATTCGATACCGTGATGGAGTATCGAGAAAGCAGTTGCAAAGTTTTTTAAAAAAAGAAGAGGGAAAATTTTCGATTCTCGCATGTTGCGAGCGCGAACACAAAGTTAATCAGAAAGAGCTATGAGCGATCTGACGGCAGAGTCCTTGTTTTCCTCGATAAAATCCAACTATAATTGTGCAACGGACTCACAGAGTCTTAACTTAGTCTTCGAAGGAAGTAAAAAAAAAACAAAAAGTAAGAAAATAGTAAAACGAAATGTGCTTTACCGTGCGCTATTGCCTGAAACAATTTTGATGGATCGTCATCGAGGGAACACAAGCAATATTGTCAGTTATTTTCTAAAAATATAACTAGTATTACTAACTTTAAAAGGAAAGAAGAAGAAAATTTGAAAGAAATCGGGTTAGCAGGAAACGCATATTATTTATAGCGAGAACCTTACTAGATAATACCACAAACAAATGTGAACAAGTACATAGGACCTATTCTAATATATTATTATTGTTTTAAAACAAGAGATCGTAGACAGAGGAGAAGAAGGAGAGAAAAAAAAAAGAAGATTGGTCTTCGTGTCGGACTTATATTTTTCGACGGAGGTTACGGTGAAGCAGAGCAATATGTTTTCAGTGCGTTTTAGGCTGGTCAGTGCGACGATAGATGTGTAAGTAATAGCCTAACTTGTTTTAAACGTTTTCCAGAATCGCTGAATATTTTATTCGTTGTTGATTCAGTTTCTTCTAGTACTAAAGAAAAATTTTACGAGGACAAATTTTTTGTATACAAATATGACAATTTATGTTGATGTTTAACGTAGGGAAATTGATTAACATATGCTCTAACTGATTGTGTAAGAATTTGCATATCTCATTTGAGGCCGCTAACTTAGAGCTTTACGACGAAGAGATGAGTACCTTTTTCTCATTTCCGCCGTTGAAGAAAAAGAGAGAGTGAGAGAGAGAGAGAGAGAGAGAAAGAGAGCAAAAGGGAGACACGTTAAGACACATCGAACTTATTACCGAGATTTACTACTTAGTTGATAAGAACATCTTTCCGAGGGCAATGCTTGTCCGCGTCACGTGTGTTCTTCGCTGTAAGTCCAACGCAACTGTCTTTAACGTGTCTTGCAAAACAAAAGGAAAAGAGGGGAAAAAACGGACGGACGATCGATGAAACTTTAAAACAAGGTTCAGACGTAGGAGCATTTTGTGACACTATAAAGTGCCTGTCTTGTCGTTTAGAGACGTGAAGAAAAAAAAAAAGAAAACTCGTGTTATAGATTTCTTAATGAACCACCGTATTATATGTAATAATTTCGTTTTAGCATCATGAGAACGGAGAAGCAAATAAGCGAACATATATCTATATGGACTTGAGTTGACCGTTTTATGTAGAACGAATTGTGGTTCCGTGTACGTATGGTTGTATTTGCATCGAACATTATCGAAATACGTCTTTCCTAATATTGTATTATATGTCATCCGAGCGTCATCGTGTCATCGAAACGGATACCTTTATGGGTATTTAGTTACTTTAAGCGATATCTTCGATTCTTAGATTCGTGTCACTTTTCCTTTTTATTCTTTTCATTTTCGTACGTCGTTCATTATGCGACCGGGATATCTATCGCGCGAGGCCAAATATAATAATCCAGAGTGTCAGAACTGAGAGAGCTATTTGTGAACGTTCGACGCGATGGCAGGAGAGAGAAAAAAAAGGAGACGAGGACTAAAAAAAAAAATGAAACGAAACATATTCCAAACAGACATAACGAGTTCAATGTTATTCTTTTTTCTCTCCTTCCAGTTTCGAAAGCTCACGAGTGGCGAGTAATCCCGACTTCCGGTTTTCGCGCGCTGGATAGACAGCTTGGTCGATGTGGTCTTTTCGTTATACATATATGTGTATAGGACTCGTATATATAAATTAATATTAACTGAAACCATGTGAGAATATAAATATACGATAGTTATGTAAATCGAAGAATTAACGATACACTTATATTGCATACGAAATGAGAAGAAAAAGAAAACAGGAAGAAGGTGGCCCATATGCTTATTTGATAATGAGAAATCGTACGATATCTGATTATTAAGCATATTCGATGATTTTGTTGTTTTCTTCTCTTTTTTGTTTTGTAGTATCATCTTTTTAAAAGAAAAGCCTGATTAGATTTTTATAATGTCTGACTGTACTTGATATCGAGAGAGGGAGAGAAAGCAGCTCAGTTTGTATCAACGCTTACGACCGAATTTAGGGCCGGTATGCTGAAGGAATTTAATGCAATTTATCTTTAAAGGAATCAGGGAAAGTAAAGTATATATTAAATTATTTGCGCTTTTCAGTATTCTCCCGTCGAATGTACTGCGAGCATTCTGCGCATTAATTTCCGCTTCGGCGTCCGTCTTTAAAATCAGTCGGATTGTGACAAGTTAAGAGATAAAATAACGTGCGCGTGTCTTAGTATTAACGAAAAAAAAGTATGATTGTGTAAAAACAAATAAAAGATAAAGAATGGTGCGATCCAGGGTTAAAGCTGACGATCGGGAAGCACTAAAGAAGCGAGATCCTGCATTTTCACAAATATCTCGGAGAACTTCATCTTCCACGGTTACATTTTCGCGACGGTTGTTTTGACTGTACTGAAATTGTTAGCAGCTACTAATTCTCTCATTTCATCTGCGAAATCGGATCTTGCGCGTGATGCAAAACTGCCTGCATGCAAAATCATGTCCCAAATATAACGATGCACACCCATGATTGAAGCGCATCTTAGCATGTAGACGCACGTTCGCTGATAATGGAAACCGGACGATTCCTTTTATCGCGTGACGAAAAGTACAAAAATTGTACCAGACATGCCTTATCGTAATAATAATAAGTGATGCACTACGAAAGTACTCACATTATTTTTTGACATTGACAAACGAATCGCAACTTGTAGCAAACGAGAGAGCGCGGGGAAAAACATAAGAGCAGGCGAATTTTTTAATGGAAAGAAAAGAAAAAAAGTGGAAATGTGGGCAACTTTGCATCCGTTTGTGCATACCTTAATCGTTCCAATTGCATTTAATTATTCGTTACGTGAGCTTTGTGTAACTCTTGTCGCTTTATGTTCTTAAAACTAGGTTCCTAGTACGCGAATCATGTTAAGTGTGTGTATGCACGTTTTGCTGTAGCATTTTACGATGTTTTTGAAAATGCTTTGTGATCTCCGAGTGAAAGAAAGAAGTAGGCCTATAGTAACAAAGTCGCTATTTTACTGCAGATTGAAAAAAAAAGAAAACTTCGATTTTGATCCTTCCTCGTGGAAGGTTCATCCGACTTTAACTTTTGTAAGAAAGAAACGCATTTATCGTTATCGGATAAATCATTCGGCAGAAATCTGGTCTCTCAGGAAGAAATGTAATATTTGAAATTTTTATGAAACAATTCAATGCGAAGGAGTGCAAAAAAAAAGAAGCAGACAGGGAGTAATGAATTGTAAAAAAATAATGCCTAGAATTTTGCGTATATATTGTACTATAACACCTTTCAGTTTGTTTTGAAACGTTATAATATAAGGAAACATTTTATAACAAACATGGTTCTTTCATACAAAAAACGCTCCTCCTGCCTAAACAGTACTCCGATTGCAAGAGAAATGATGACTTGTTTTACTCCTCATTTATAGCATATATTAATTATTAAGAATATATAATATTTATATATATATACATACTATATATGGCATTTATACATTATTGAAAAAATATTATCTTTTGATTAGACATTTTCATCATCTCTCTAATATCACGCTTTCTCGGACCATGTGTGGCATACATTTCATGTGGGTGCTTTGTTCTTTGATACGGATATGTACATGTACATTTGTAGTATTGAGAGCAAGCCGTACACAATGCAATGAGATTTAAGAGAACTGATAATACGGAGCTAGCTTCTCGTCGCGCGTGAAAAGTCGGTCAGAAACGCTCTACCTCCATGTAAATAGTATATTTTGTACCTTTCACAGAAAACTTATCATTTTGTAGTGACGTAAAAAGGAATATCCACGATATATACGAAAGTCATACACAATTAAAACGCTAAACAAATCAAACGAATGCAGTAATTGACGTAGACGTTTGTTAGTAGCGTGATCACATCACATTAAGAATGTTAGAACAGTTAAATATTTTCTTATAATAATAACGAACTTTTCATTTACTAGCTATTCAATATCTTGACGATAATAATTGTTACTTTTTACAGCGCATAAATAAAATCGGAGGTATTTCGATATTAGTAACACAAAATATGACTTCGCACAAGTCTTCTTCGTATAAATATTGGAAGTGGAATAATCAGCGCGCGTGCAAGCTTATTTTACGTAGACTTTTTCTCCTCTCCCGCCGAATGGAAGCTTATGGAGGCGGAATTGATGCAGAAGCGCTTCCTCGTAGGCTTCGGCCCATCGTTGAACACATGGCCCAGGTGTGCGTCGCACTTCGAACAGGTCACCTCGGTCCGCACCATATCTGGGTTTGCGATCAGCAGTAGTAGATTGCCGCCGACTGTTGGCGTCGTTTAACGACGCGTCGCGCGAGTTTTCAGCGATGTTTGTTTTTTTCAGTGATGAGAGTGAGGTGGTTCAGTGGCGGTAGGAGCCAAGGAGGTGGTCAAGTAGGGCGACAGGAGAAAGAACAATAGAGTGTGATTAGACGCAGACTGACACCCTTCTCGCAATACACTTTTCAGAAGTAACAGAAGCGATCTAAAGGTTTTGGATTCAAATCAAACTAAAGACTGATATGATCATGAAAAATCAGGTAACATCTATGTGATATTAAAAGAATAAGTGAAGAGATGCGTACATATGAAACTTTTTTATTCAATAACTAGTTTCATATCAACTGATTTTTGTTTGCAAACTATTATTATTAATTTAAGGATTGTTCAATTAGCAATATATTCATTGAAAATTATGCAATTGCATGATAATATTTCACATGCTTTACATTTTATTTGCAATTGCCATATTTTCTCTTTCGTACGTAATGCATATAAGTCATATTTATAATCTTACGTTGCAGTAATATTTGTATGTAACAAGTTTGTATTTTTAGCTGTGAGTACTGAAACACACTTGCAAGTAATTAAACGTTAGTTATTATCGCATCTGCGGTCGCTATAATGATAACGTAAAAGCCGAGGAACATTTATCTCTCAAAGAGATATGTTACAAAAAGCGATATTTATACGTTAAGATCTTGCAGTTAAAAAAGAAATATTATTCAGCACTGACAAACAACGATACGACAGATCTCGCCTGTCTTTAATCATATTTCCAACGAGTGTTTCATAATGTACGACTAGTATATTAGTTTCATATAAAAAAGTGATGTAAGTCTAATACAATCACACTCTAAGCCAGTGCATGCAGGAGCCGGGAAAAATAGGAATTTTCTTCCAATGTATACATTATATGTACAATAGAACTATGTAAACTAAACTAATAGAACTAAATAAATTCCAGGTGGATCCGGCTTTTTTGTACAGAAAAAAAAAAATTTTTTAACATCTACAAAAGAATTTCTACATTCATCTAAGAAACATAAATAAAAGCATAAGCGAGTGGAAATCAAAATTTACAATTCTTCTCAAAATCAAAGTATTTTTATTCTAAGAAAAACTAAATGTAAAGGAATTCTATTTCGGACAGGTGTAGAAAGTCAGTGAGAGTGAAATGATCAGGACAGATTCAATAATATTATGCAAGTATGTGTCACGATGACGTTCTTGTAAATAGCAAGCAGGTACTAAGAGATTTATTCATAAAATATCATTATTATATAATTTTTTTCACAGTTAGTTTACCTGCGTGCTATTAAGGATTATATAATGTTCAATGTTAAAACGAAAGTGAGGTGAGCTTGTAGAGTGCCATTATCACAAGAATGTGAGCATGATTATAAAAGATGTGCTAATGAAGACAGATTAAGAGATTACAATCGCGCTTACCATGCGAGGCATCTTTGGTCAATTTGATGCGTCCCTGATCTAAAACCTCATTGAATGCAGGCCAGCCGCATCCGCTGTCGTATTTTGTGTCCGAGGAGAATAATTCCTGTTCGCACACGATGCAGGTATACGTGCCCTTTTCGTAGAACTTATTGTAGCAACCGGTAAACGGCCTGCGACAAATAAAGCGTGCGACGAATCAAAAGGTGAGTTAACGGTGCAGCGATAGGAAAGGGGAGCAAACCGTGACATACATATACATTGTTTATTTTTAAACCTGTTGGCCGTGAGGCGGCTCAAAGCCAGATTGTCGCATGCTCTTGAAAAAGTTATTTCGGTACCCTCCGCCCAAGATTAAGCGCGCGAAAACGTGATTTCGCATTCTTCTCTTTGATCTATGATTTGGTATCTTGCAGTGAATTACGACACATCGCGATCTTACTTGTAAACATGCAATTTTTTACTTCTATGCACGCGAGATGCTTCAAATGTTAAATATATGTCATTTCGATACTAATTGTTTATGAAATTGCGCAAATATATATCTGAATACGCGCATATTTTTGTATAAGTATTTTAATACGAATTTTTTTTGTTATTTAAATGGAACATTCCAAAATGTCAAAGCATGTGACAAATTATGCAAATACGGAGCACGATAAATAACAGCTGCTTATGTCATGAGTATAATTAGCCACAATTTGACGTGCCCATATATATTATATTATCACTATTGCGCAACTATGTTACACATTGGCTAACTATTATAGAATCAGTGAACGTCATCATGATGGGAGACGTCCATTCGCGCCGACTATGATAACAGGAAATTGATTATAACTGTTATCATTAAAAAGAAATAAATAATTCACTTTATCGTGAATATGTTGGAGAAAACTCAATAAACAAACACTCGTGTTTCTCTGTAATAGGATAAATTAATCGATTAAGAGCCGATATAATTTTGTTAGAATCATCTTCGCGTGTAAATGGTACGCAAAAATGAACTTTACGTTCTTGTTGCCACGAGCAACACGCAGGGAGTATCACGCAGGGCTATCGCTTTCGAAATTATTTCGACTTCCGCATCCCTTCGTGTGTCCTCACCTCTCCGTGCCCTTCTCCTGCGTTACATGCCACTGCAGCGGCGTCAACCGCTTCCGCGCTTCCTCCTTGTCAACCGCCGTCGTCATTCTTCTGATAGCGCTCAATGTGTGTCGCAAAATCTTGGAAGTGTGTCGGCAAGAAGTTGCCAGAAACGTCAAACTGAATTTATGCGTGACGATGCTGATGCAAAGCGGCTGTCTCGCCGTGTTTTCGTTGCTTGATCCAAGCCCGCTCAAATCAGCACATCACCGTCGGCGAACTTCGTCGCACTGAATCCGACTGAAATGCTGTCCGATCACGATGTCGCGTTTCTTGCAATAGCACACTGGCGCTCCAGTCACATTCCAGGTGGAGAACTTCAAGTCAGTCCAGACATTTTTAGACCTGGTCAATTCGGTCGCGTCTGTATACTGAATTTTAGTTGCATATTTTCAGGATATTGTCTATCGAGCTATTAATTATTTATTAGCTTTATTAGTCGCCACATTTCGTATATTATCAGCAGCATTTACAATCACTAACAAGATCGTCACTGCTGTGAAATGTATCTCCCAATAATTAGGCGGCATCGTAACGTACTAAATTAGTAAGTATAATTATAATTATATCTCGTTTGTTCGGAAATAACAAATGTTTTATGGAAAGTTTTCTTTAAATAATGTTTTATAGCCATTCTGAACAAATATAATCATGATTGTGTTTCACGAAACTCACTTAGATAAAATAACTTGCGATTATAATTTAATCAAAGAAATGATATATAAACATAATAGCCCTTTATCATTTATTTATTTGATATTACTGCTTCTGTTATTAATCAGTAAAAGGAATTAAATTATATTTTTTATATCGAACTAATTTGCATTGTAATATTATATCCAATTATCAAACGTCGATATGGTCTACTTCCTTATTATCGACTATTAGTATTCTAATTATTAATTGTTGTTATCAATGCTCTCTATATAAAATTTCCTACTTGATTTTTTATCATGTGTACTTTGATCAGAAATTGTATAGCATCAATATGGATGATTATTTTATTCATGTCGTCATTTTGTCGACAAGTTTGAATTGTTAAAGTTAATTGATGCTAAAAGTAGTCATCCTAGATCTACGATAAGAATAGAGAATTTTGGAGTTTTATGAAGATTTTTATCTGAAAATTTAGCATTAAATAATTAACATGCTTAACATTCGTATGATAAAAACATGGAATGTTCAAGATAATTCTCATATTCGAGGAACTTGAACTTTACAGAATCATTTTATGTTGGTAACCGTGTCCATGACAAATGCTAACTGCGCGAGGTATTTTCAATCGATGATCGAACGGTCTAGAGATCATGTTACTAATATCACTCATACATTACTTAACACTATGTAGTAAATAAAATATTTCTCTCCCGATGATTAAAACATTCTTTACATCAATTATAGATCGTTAATTCAAGTGTATGTACATTTTTTCAAATGTTCCCTTGATTCTCAAGCTTGGTCACGGCGGCTAGTCGGCATGACGTCACAGCGTTGCGATTGGCCGGTTGGCCGGCGCGCGGCGTTGCAGTGGGGTAGAAGCGCCGTCGGCACCTAGCGCCGCCGCCATCTTGACAGACAGAAAGAGCCTGCTGTCGCCGTCAGCCGCCAAGCAACACCGTCCAGCTGAGCCGTTGTAGCTGAGAGCGCGAGCTGTTGGCTCCGCTGTAGGTGAACGCGGTGAGAAATCGCGTCGGGCTATCGTTCGCGCGACGCGAACGCAGGAACCGGCTGGCAGGTGGAGGAGGAGGAGGAGGCGCCGGACGACGACGACAACGAGGAGTAGGAGGTGGAACAGAAGAGGAAGACGGGAACGTGGAGAGGTACCGGAGCACCGGAAAAGCAGCGCGACGGGTCGAGTACAATATCGGGGTTGAGCGGGACGTCACGGGCGCCTCGCGCGGTGAGCGCCTGGTTTTCCGGCTCTCGGTGTGTTCGTGCCGTGCCGTGCCGTGTTAATCGTGTGCGGTGAAGTTAACTCGGTGTGCCGAACCGCCCGAATATCGTCGCGCTCCCGTTCGTCCGTCCGTCCGTCCGCGTCGCGTGGAAGAAGGCTGACTTCACTCGCTCGCACGCGGAACGTCGGCATTCCTCGCGCGTTCTCTTCGTCGTGCGTTCCATCAGTGAGGAGGACGAGAACTCGATCGCTCCGAATTAAATCGTCGGGGAGAATTCGCGACGTTGTCGTAAACGTGGACTGCCGCTACTTCTGCTAACTTTTGCTGCTACCAAGTGTGACAGACAGTATGGCGGGACAAACGATCAACGACAGGCTGTTGGCCGCGAGGCACAGCATCGCCGGACAAGGCCTCGCCAAGTCCGTCTGTAAGGCCACCACGGAGGAAATGATCGGACCCAAGAAGAAGCATCTCGACTGTGAGTACATAGAGAGCGAAAGTTTTCCGATATAAATCGAGCGTTACATCGTTCGCCGGCATTCAACTCAATTCACGCGAAATCGACAATGGAACGGCATACTTTTCTTGGTATTTCCAAATTCGAATTCAAAGTTTGGATCGAAAGAAAATACTAGAAAAAATTCCATTCCGTAAGATTTCCGATGGGGATAAGGTGGATGTTTCAACGTGGCATTAACGGCGCGGGGTGTCGCGACCTACAATTTCATGCGAATTCAAGACCGGCCGTTCCGCTGTTGACTTCGCGCAGGGAGAGCACACGCGTAAACCAGTGCAAGGATACCAGTGCGAGTCGAGTTGCGAGTCGCTCACCTTTTCTATTGCCCGCCGTTGAGGAAGGTAAACGAGTGACCACTCGCTGCCACTTGACTCGCCCTCCCCACTGGCTTCGCGCGAACCCTGGCATTAACCAATTCTCTGACGAGCATTGTTGCATAAAACTGACTACAACACTTCAGCTTAAATTCTTTTTTCTGCTTTAAATAATAATTAAAATTGTTGAATTATTTATTCAATTGTAAAACTTATTTAATTCTTGAAGCAAGCTCGCGCTTATGCAATTTTTATTACATACTTTTCACTCGATTTCTGTATTCTATGAAAATTTACGATAAAAATACAATTGTGCAAATCAGAGAAGTAGTTAAGGATGCGATCGAAAAGTTGTGGTTAAGAAAGATGGAATTGCAAAACGTGCAATGTAATAATAGCAATTATGCAGCGGGCTGTTTTGAGAAGGAATCTACAGGTTTGTCCTTTTTTATTTTCCTCATAAACTTTGAAGACGAAGTGAATGTATATTTACGCATTTGATGAAGTAACAGTACAGTAAGAAAAGAAATTTATATCGAAGTATACAAAGTATACGATATCGTAAAGGACACATCGCTACACGCATGTTCCATTTCTGGGCGAGACTCCTCCAATTCGCGCGATCATTAATATGTCGTACGTTGTGCAAAAAAGTAAATCATATTTATTATGAATATTATATTGAGTAGATATTAATAACAACAACATAATAATATTCTCACATATTTTTTCACTGCGCGTTAAAGATCACACGAATAAATATTTTCTTCTTTCCGCGACACACATATTTTCTTAGCGCTAAGAACGAGACAAGTGTGACTCGTCCTTACTGAGAGAGAAAGGAAACGGAAGAAAGTACAGGAAAGTGTAGAAAGTGCGATGGATAAGGACGGAGCTACTGATTTATCGACGAATCGGCCTGTTCACCGGTATATATTCGCAAGCGACAATTCGATTTTAGACATTCGGATCTGTCCTGAAAATGACGTAAATTCCAACGTGCAGACGCTTTTAAAGATCGCGCGCGTTCGCATGCAAATGTCATTCTTACACAATCTGAGAATGCTGCCCATGATTCGAATTATGAACGCGATACGTAAAGCCACGTATCTTTCACTTTGAGATAATCAGCGTGTTGCGTCTGTGGAGTGTAAAAAATGTACTTGAATTAAGTGGAGTGCGTTTGAAACACTGATCATTTTTTTCCGTATTTGTCTTGTCGATAATGATAAAAGTTTCGAAGTGCATTTTCGCATGAATAAAGGCAGACAAAGCAGACAATATTCGTATCAGCAATAAATGATTTAAATTACTCGCATAAATTCTCAGCATTGAAACAAATAATTGAATAATCAAAGTGATATCATTACTCTTTTTACTTGCCAATATCCGAGTTTTAAAAGTCGATTTAAATTTAATTTATTTGACAAATAAACGTGGAAAATAGTTGATTTGAAAAAATCTATACGAGAGGGATAAAAGAGTGTTCTTTAGTGCTCTGAACTTTACGTTAGAATTAGTCCCAGAAGGGGTGGTAATTAATTAAAACTGAGGAGGCAGAACATTCTTATTCGAGCCACGTGTTAATGGTGTGTAAATGAAAAAAGAGATGTGAAGGAAGCATGATAAAATTCTTGTTCATGAAAAAATTTTATTATTCTAAAACATTTTGTTTATTAGATAAGAAATAATTATATAAAACATTAATATTACATGATATTACATACAGTAAGTAATACAAAATTATATATAATTATATATTTTAAAAGTTTTCCAGTTTTTTTTCTTGAAAATAGAAATAAATAAAAGCGGAAACTCTTTTCAAACTATTCGATATCATAATTGTATAATAGTTATATAAAATCAAATTTTTTAAATGCTATTCTGAGTTATTTATGAGCAATTTATTTATCTTCAATCATAATTATTTGCAAAGAGATTAAAAAAAAGTTTTATGCATTTCATAGTTAATTATAACCTTGTAGTAATATAAATCTTCGTTAATTAAAATTTATGTAACGCAAATTAGTGTGAAACTTTACGTCTGTGAAAATATACGTTAACTGTGCAAATGTACACGGTTTATGTACACACAACGGTATACGTTACCGTGTTTGAGATTAACAGGGAAGACCTCGTGCCGCGATTCTCCTTTCGCACGTGAACGAATGAATAATGTTCACACTGACGAATCGTTCGTAGTAACGTTCGGTCGTTAGTCATACCGGTCGTTTGACGATTACACATATCGCGCTGGTAATTTCCTTCCGTTATAACGTGGACGAAACGATATCGGGAGCGACGGCGACTCTCGTGGTCGATTGATAGCCTTCATCCCCTATCTTCCTCTCCTCCTCTCTTTCCTCCTACGATCTGACCCTGTGCGAGCACGCGTATCTCAATGAACCTCCCATACTGCATTCAGTAAAATCGATTGACGTCTATCGCAGCCTTCACCCTTACCAGGGCTCGACTTCTCTTTCTGATCGCGCGGAGAGAAGCCAATCCTCATTGGAATAATTATTTAATAGAGAGAACATCGGTCATACACGTGTTCGAAACGTGTTTTAGAATGAATCGTCGTGAGGTTGAATGAAGAGATATTCATCTTATCTGACAGGCTTGTTTTTATCTGAAAATAGGTAGCTGTCTGAATAAGAGAGTTAACGGCAAATCTCGTATTCGCGAGATTTAGCGCGATTCGCGTGCATTCAATTAATTAAAATAAACGTTTTCGAGTGATGTCATCCTTTGACGGCTCACCGATGCGTCTTCTCATTGCAAATTAACGGCATTTGCAGTGTTTTATACCTCGCGTGCGTCAGAGTATAATTGAAATAAATATTATAATAGAAGGAATGCAATGTAGCACAACATGCATTAGAATATAAGAATAAAATCACAGTTTTTAAATTACATATTTCTGTAGATAAGATTTAATTCTTTACTAAAATTGAATTCAATTATATTAAAAAATGTGATTTATATTAAAATATAAGAATATATCGCTTATTCTTAAATTGAATGATAAAAGGATTTTTATCGCTTTTCAATTTATACGAATGTAACATATACATTCTTCTTCATATTTGCATCTCATATTCTTTTGCCACGAACTGATATTTCATGAATTCGTCATGTTTCCTTTATATCTGTGTATCTTCCTCTGAAAGATTTTCGAAGTAAATTGTCAATATGTCTCGTGAACGTCGAAGAAATGTCTTGATAATAATAAATGAAGGTATTCCCCGAATAGTTATCTCCAAAACCTTATTCTGACCTGATAAGTCGCGAAACCTTACGAACCTCCGAGTCCCATTTAATTTATCGATCTCACTGGCGCGTAGTTGCACGGAACACTTTATAGATCTACAGGGTGTGCCAAAAAAGTTTATTTCGAATTCTTACAACAGAATTATTGCTTTGAGAGAAGTCTCGTGTATATTCTTACCTCGCTGTGATAAAATAAATTTTTCAGATTTTAGATTATGTTTTTTAGGCTGCTATCATAAGAACGCGATAACTAGCGTTTGTTCCAATTTATCAGCCTGTTCTAATTTAAACGAGCACGCCCTAGTATTTTTCATGCCAAGCATGCGATTATCGGCTACTCCTCTTCTCCGACTCGCTATTTATCACGCCTTGTTTCTGTAGTTTAACGTATATATTTGTGATCGAATAATATTTACTATCGAGTCCTTGTGAGACTTGTCAGCGTGGAAATCTCCATCAATTTAATTTAAATTTGTTGTTATTGAGAGACATACTATACGGCGCGCGTGATGAAGCTTACAGTAACACAGTAACTGAGAATGTAAGAATAAAGTGTAGATTTTTGCTTTATCATCTCCGGAAATTATTGTGGCCGATATTTCCAATCTATTTTAAATGACTTTGTGATGTATAGGATGTATTTCTAATGACAAGTTTTATTAATATAAAAAGCATCACAAATGTCTCTTTACAATTATTAAATAATCTACAACAATTTGGAATTGAAGAATTATCTTATTTTTGGATTAATTGTATGTTGATATTTATATTAATTAACTTATAATTATCAAGGCGTCATATATATATGTCATTAATTGGAAAGCATATCGATCGGTAATCTTACTCGATGTTGAAATGTGAAAGATAGCACGATGCAAATTGCGTATTCTTACTTAGGTTGCGCAAGCATCATAATATATAGCATAATCACCGACGACACGATTGTCTCTTTTCATCATGCCTGGAAATTTTCGCGCCGCGTAATGTTGGGAGTTTTCTCGTGAGCTCTCTCCTTGCTATTAGCTTATGCCGCGACCTTATCGAGTAATTTCTGCCTTTTGAATCCTCGGGGATTCGCGTAACGAACCAGCTTTCGCGCAACGGGTGCGCCAGTGGGCAAGAGAGACAGAGCCAACGCACCATTAAACTGGGAGATCCGTGACCTGCGCCACGCGACGATTCAAGAAATTAATAAATAGCAGGTCTTTCCTCGACAGGCACTCTCGATCCTCGTGATTTGCCAGGCCGAGAGACGTACAAAGTCGGTTCTACCGGCCGATCAATAATCTCGCGGAAACACGACAACACGATATTCGTCTCGCGTTATTCCGCACGAAAATCATCGAATTAGCCGTTCACGTGCCACGCGTCTTT